CAGGGCTGGACTGCTCACTCCCATTTTATGAGTAAGTAGAGTGAGGCCCTGAAAGGGGAGGCACTGACCCAGTCTTCTGATCTGTGGCCATAGCCAGACTGTGGTCTTGACACCTCTCCCAGACACCAAAGGGCAGGTGAAGGCTGAGGGAGGAGACCTCAGCCAGCCAGGGGGCTTCCAGGCTCCCCAGATTAGAATCAACAGGTGTGGCCTGTCCCTGCCCCTCCCTGCTCAGGTCACAGCAGGGAGACGAGAGAGGTTGACACTGAAGAAAGCTAAGTCCCACTCAGACGTGGCAGGCCTGTGGCCAGGTGTTCTGAAGCCAGGGCAGGGCAGTCAGGAGGTCAGAAACAGGAAAGAAGGTCCTGGCCCTGCCCCAGGAGGATCTAACGGGGACCATGGGCATTTATCTGCCTATGTGTTTCAAGTACTGGCCAGCATGAACTTGGCAATTGCTTATGTATTTATTTTCCTCTAGCCTTGGTCCCAGGGAATGTAAGATCAAGTTGAAGCATGCTCTGGAGCAGGTGATTTGGGTCCAAAGCCATTTCCATAAGTTCCTGCTGTGTGACTTTGGCAAGGTGATTTCACTTCTCTGAGACTCAGCTTTCCCATCCATTGAAAGGGGATGATAATAGTACTTACCCCATAGGGCCATTACAGGGCTTCCACGGATAGTCTCAGGGAAGTTCTTCACGTGGTGCCCGACACAGAGAAATAACTGGGGATAACATCACAGAGAGTGGACTGCATACAGGCCCTGTCCTAGGGGCCTTACAATTTTCTGAGCCCTCACAAGGATTTTGGAGGCTCCAGCATTATCCTTTAAGGGGCAGAAGTGGGACTTGGATCCAGCTCTCAGGAGAGCCAGAGGGCTGAACCAATCCACCATGTTACTTAGAGCAGTTACTGCGAGCTAGGCCCTGTGCTCTGTGCCACAGGGACATACAGGTCAAGTGGAAAATGGGCAATTCTTCCAGGACAACCGACTGGCCTCTGGGACCCTTTCTCCAGAAGGAATGCTTCAGGCCCGAAGCCTCTGAACTCCAGTTTAAGAACAGAGCTGAGGTGGAGCTGGGGGAAGGCTGAGCTTGCGGGTGAGGAGCCCTGGTTGCAGGCTGAGTACAAGGTACTGGGAGCTGCTGAAGCCTCTAGTGACATGCCTGTAGGCCAGGAGGGAGCAGACCTGGGGCTGGGGCTCTATTGGGATGCTGCTGGGATCTTCCAGGCAGAAGACGGGGCCAGGGTGAGAGAGCAGGTGCTGGAGGGGAAGCAGTGCTGTGTCCTGTTCCCCTTGCTGTCCATGGGAAATGGCAGCTGCTGTTGAGCATGGCAGAGCCACCCACCAGCCATCGACTGCTCAACTCCAGACTTACATAGAAGAGAAATATTTAACCCACTGAGTTTCGGGGTCTTTTTGCTACAGCAGCTTAGCCTGTACCCTATCACTGTGTGATCTTAGGCAAGCACTTCACTTCTCTGAGCCTCAGTTTCCATATCTGTAAAATGGGGGTAATGATAGAACCTAGTAGGATTCAAGGATAGTGCAGGTAGGCCTGGCAGTGAGGAGGGGTACTCGATGCCCCGTATTCCTACCAGCTCCTCCTGGCTGGCCTCTTCTAGGAGAACTTTCAAACTCCCCACTCAACCTGAGGGCAGGATTTTTTTGGATCTCATATCTTCCCACAAGTCCCTGGGAAAAAATATATCAGTTAAGTTTTTAAGTCTCAAACAACAGTGGCTTAAATAAGATTAAGTTTGTTTTTCTCTTGTTTAAGGTGGTCCAGGGCTGGGTGGCAGCTCCACGATCAAAAGAAATCCAGCCTTCTTTTATTGTTCTGTCTTACCAGGCCAGTTAGTGGCTTAAATCCTCAAGCTTACCTCATGGTCCAAGCTGCTGGTGCTCCTATCATCACACCTGCATGCCTCAGGTAAAAGGAAAAGGGGAGGGCAAAGTGGTTCATCTCCTGGTTGGGTCAGTTTCCCATTTTCCTGACATGACATCTCTTCTTACATCATTGCCCAGAATCTGGTCATATGCCATGCTTTAGTATCAAAGGAGTCTGGGAAATGTGACCTTTATCTGAGCACATACCATCCAAAATGGAGTGTATGTGTGTTTTTATAAGGCTGTACATTGTTTTACACTGTTCTCATTGAGAGGTGGGGTCTGTGGCACCCCCTCCCTGAATCTTGGCAGGGCTCTGTGACTGCTTTGACCAGCAGAATAGGGTGGAAATGATGCTTTTATAATGTGAGTTCCCATGTTAGGTTATAAAAGGCCATGCAGTTTCTGTCTGTTTGACTTGAAACCAGGACTGGCTTCATGGGCATATGACCCCTTAAGTTGCACAGAGCTTTGTATTCAGAAGGGTCATTCACTTGTTTTGATGCTCTGCTGTCTTGAAATTCTTAATGATTGCATCTTTGAACTTGCGTTTTGTAAGTGAAGTCTGGTAGAGCAATAGCACATGTGTCTATGCAAAGGATGCATGTGCCCCATTTCCTTGCCACCCTATTAATATGTGTGTTTGTGATGGCTGCTACACAGCTTCCATTACACATTTCCCTGTATGTAGGGTCCCATGCTTGGAAGGACTCCTCTCTTGTTTTAACCTGCTGTTACATCTTGGAATTCTTAATTTTATCTTTGAATTGTACATTGGAAGTGAAGTCCAAGGGGACAATAGGTCATGCATGTGAGTAGAAGACATACATGCAGTTTGGGTGTCCACTGCTCACATAGTGTTTATAATGCCCCATGAGCACAGAACTCTGATGAACCCACACAGCACAGACAGCAGCAAGACTCAAAGTAAGTTCAAGGTGAGCATGTGATGTCTATGATTGAGTAGACAGAGGCACAACTCCAAGAGGCCATCATTTCTGTTTGATCCAGAAGTTCTTTTGGTCACAGAAGAAAGACAATGGTGTTCTAAGAAACACAGACAACCAAGGAAACTTATATCCTTCTTATTTGTGTTGCCTTTCTGTTAGCCAACCTCTTACACCAAAAATGATGACACAGAAGGAAAGGGAAAGACAGGGTGCCCTTTCAGCTGTCCTTTCTCATCAGTAAGCAGGAAGTAGAGAGCGCTGGTAGAATATGTGGCTGTCAAGAAATGAAATAAGAGCAATTTATCTCTATTATCCTGGTAAGAATGAAATACGCATACATGTATGAGTTGTGAACCACTCATGTAATTTTGGTGATTCCACATGTGAGTTAAGTGCTCTACATTAAAGTGGTCATTGCACAGTATAAAGATTAATGGGAAAATTCATGCTAGTAAGTTACAATTTTAACTTTTCTTTACTTATAACAACATGAAGAAGTAAATAAAAACAGCATGACAAGTTGAGAGAGAGACCGTAGCAGAAGGAAAAAGCTTTGTACTTCAGTACCCCCACTGGTTCTTTTCCTCCTTACTTTTTGCTCAAGGGGCCCCACATTTTCATTTTGCACCGAGCCTTGCAAATTATGATGCTCGCCCTGTTTGAGAGGCTTGCTCTCAGATTGTTGCCTTTCAGTCACCATGTTGTGAGGAAGCCCAAGCCATACAGAAAGCCAGCCTTTGTGTCCTCCCAGCCCAGGTGAAAGAAATAAAGCCTCCAGGCAATTCTATTCCCACTGCTTCCAGCCATTCCCCAGCCTCAGCCAACTTCCAGACACCTCCATCCATCTGGGTCTTCCAGCTGAGACTCAACTCTCACAGAGCAGAGACATGCCATTCCCACGATGGGCTGTCTGAATTCCTGACCTACAGAATCTATGGGCAAAATAAATTACATAGTTGTTGTTTTTTGCTACTGAGATTGGGGTAGTTTGATATGCAAAAATAAATGTACCATAGTTTATTTGTTTGGGTTGGTTCCAATCTGTTGTTGATACAGATGAAGCTGCAATGAATAATTATGGCACATACATTGTATATATTCAGGGCAAGATTCCTAGAAATGAGGATTACTATGTTAAAGGGCAAATGCAAATATCATTTTTTTTAGCTCCTATCAAATTCCTCCCTAAACCCTTATTTTTTCCCAAATAGTTTTCTTTGTGTTTATAGTGTATTTGTAACACGTACAACTTTCCTCTCAATATCCCTATCTACATATGGAGAAACTTAGATGCAGAAAAATGCACAAATAAAGGTATAGCTTCAGGAATTCTCACAAACTGAACATGTGTGTGTAACTCTCACCCAGGTCAAGGAAAAAACAGTCCTAGCTTCCTAAAAGCTGTCCTAGTGTCCCTTCACCGTGAATACTCCTTTCAATGGTATGAGTTTTCCATTATTTATCCATTTTCCCCTTGACGTTTCCAGTTAGGGGCTAATATATTCTAAATTTCTTGGTTTCTGTTGTGTCATCAGAACCTGTTGCACACATGCCAGGTTTGTTAGCAACTCCTTTACCTTTCTGTTGGGTTACTCTTCTCAAACTAGGCTCTTGTGGAACCAGGGGTCCTTTCCCAAATGACAGGAGAAAACAAATGCATGGCTTGGCTTCTCTCAGTTTAAAATTTCCCCTCAAACCTCTGGGGTCCACTCCCACATGTCTGTTACCAAGTTTCTGTGGTGACAAATGTTCAAGAAACAGGAAATAATGGGAAAACCCAGAAAAACCATACACTGTTATATTTAGAATAACAATAGTATTGTTTATGGAGCAGGTTTTTCATGTCAGGATAGGTGTCCATTGTACAGTAGAGAGATTTTCCCTAATGCATTGGCAAAATAGGAATCAATCCCTATTTCATAGGGAGTAAGCACCCAGGTTCTGAGAGGGGAAGCAACTCAAGGCCACACACTCACAGGGGAGGATGGGAAAGACTGCAGGCTCTGGGCTGCCCCATGGCACTAGCTTTCTGCTGCTTAGACCACATCTTCTTGTGTCCTGTTCTCAGTCTGGCACCCAAAGCCCTGCCTACCTTAGGCCTTCACCAAATCTCTGGCTTCTTCTTCCTGAATGCACTGAAGCTTTACTTTGGACCAGCCCCTGGGCCTTTGCATATGCTGTTCCCTTTTCCTGGAACCTCTTTCCTCTTCACCTACGTCCTCCTCATCCTGCACAGATGCCCTCCCTGTCTAAGTTGGTGTCCTTGCTCCAACAGCATTGCAAATTCCCCCATCATATACATTGTACTTTTAATTTTTGTTTAATTCCTACTGAATTTCTGCCTCCTTCTGCCCACTTCAGACAGCAAGCACCTTAAAACAGGGATCAGTCTGTCTTGTTCATGGCTGAGTACCCATGGCCTAGCACCTTGCTGGCACATAGTAGGTACTCAGTAACTATTTGTTAAGGGAAGGGACCATCTGATTTGATTCTCCCAGCAAGCCTGTGAAGCAAGCAGGGCTGGACTGCTCACTCCCATTTTATGAGTAAGTAGAGTGAGGCCCTGAAAGGGGAGGCACTGACCCAGTCTTCTGATCTGTGGCCATAGCCAGACTGTGGTCTTGACACCTCTCCCAGACACCAAAGGGCAGGTGAAGGCTGAGGGAGGAGACCTCAGCCAGCCAGGGGGCTTCCAGGCTCCCCAGATTAGAATCAACAGGTGTGGCCTGTCCCTGCCCCTCCCTGCTCAGGTCACAGCAGGGAGACGAGAGAGGTTGACACTGAAGAAAGCTAAGTCCCACTCAGACGACTGTGGGTGGCAGGCCTGTGGCCAGGTGTTCTGAAGCCAGGGCAGGGCAGTCAGGAGGTCAGAAACAGGAAAGAAGGTCCTGGCCCTGCCCCAGGAGGATCTAACGGGGACCATGGGCATTTATCTGCCTATGTGTTTCAAGTACTGGCCAGCATGAACTTGGCAATTGCTTATGTATTTATTTTCCTCTAGCCTTGGTCCCAGGGAATGTAAGATCAAGTTGAAGCATGCTCTGGAGCAGGTGATTTGGGTCCAAAGCCATTTCCATAAGTTCCTGCTGTGTGACTTTGGCAAGGTGATTTCACTTCTCTGAGACTCAGCTTTCCCATCCATTGAAAGGGGATGATAATAGTACTTACCCCATAGGGCCATTACAGGGCTTCCACGGATAGTCTCAGGGAAGTTCTTCACGTGGTGCCCGACACAGAGAAATAACTGGGGATAACATCACAGAGAGTGGACTGCATACAGGCCCTGTCCTAGGGGCCTTACAATTTTCTGAGCCCTCACAGGGATTTTGGAGGCTCCAGCATTATCCTTTAAGGGGCAGAAGTGGGACTTGGATCCAGCTCTCAGGAGAGCCAGAGGGCTGAACCAATCCACCATGTTACTTAGAGCAGTTACTGCGAGCTAGGCCCTGTGCTCTGTGCCACAGGGACATACAGGTCAAGTGGAAAATGGGCAATTCTTCCAGGACAACCGACTGGCCTCTGGGACCCTTTCTCCAGAAGGAATGCTTCAGGCCCGAAGCCTCTGAACTCCAGTTTAAGAACAGAGCTGAGGTGGAGCTGGGGGAAGGCTGAGCTTGCGGGTGAGGAGCCCTGGTTGCAGGCTGAGTACAAGGTACTGGGAGCTGCTGAAGCCTCTAGTGACATGCCTGTAGGCCAGGAGGGAGCAGACCTGGGGCTGGGGCTCTATTGGGATGCTGCTGGGATCTTCCAGGCAGAAGACGGGGCCAGGGTGAGAGAGCAGGTGCTGGAGGGGAAGCAGTGCTGTGTCCTGTTCCCCTTGCTGTCCATGGGAAATGGCAGCTGCTGTTGAGCATGGCAGAGCCACCCACCAGCCATCGACTGCTCAACTCCAGACTTACATAGAAGAGAAATATTTAACCCACTGAGTTTCGGGGTCTTTTTGCTACAGCAGCTTAGCCTGTACCCTATCACTGTGTGATCTTAGGCAAGCACTTCACTTCTCTGAGCCTCAGTTTCCATATCTGTAAAATGGGGGTAATGATAGAACCTAGTAGGATTCAAGGATGGTGCAGGTAGGCCTGGCAGTGAGGAGGGGTACTCGATGCCCCGTATTCCTACCAGCTCCTCCTGGCTGGCCTCTTCTAGGAGAACTTTCAAACTCCCCACTCAACCTGAGGGCAGGTCCCAGGATTTCTCTTCCTCCTTCTGACCCCCACAATGACACCCAGCTTGGGCAGTGGACACAACAAGTCCCTTGACCCAGATTTATACAAATAACAGGATCTGGATGACTCTCAGTGATCCCTGTCTTGCATTTTACAGATTAGGAAAATGAGGTCTAGAGGGAGACAGGAATTTGCCCCAGCTCCACAGTGGCTCAGACAGAGCAGTGCCTGGATCCAGACCTTGGTGGGCATTGGGGAGGGGAGTCCATCTCTGATGTAGGTGCTCAGAGGGCACATTCTCCCACCACTCTTCTGTGTTTGCTGTGCTCCAGCTACACTGGCCTCCTGGTAGTTCCTAGTGACCACCTCAGGGCCTTTGCACTTGCTGTTCCATCTAGTGGGCCTGTTCTTCCCACAGCTATTCCCTGGATGCCGCCTTCTCACCTTATTGGCCCTCAATTTAGGTATACCTCTTCAGAAGGGGTTTTCCTGATCACCCTCTGTTGGACCCTCTGTAATCTCTTATCTCTACCTCATGTCTTCTTCCTTCATTTGCAATGTATTAGTTTCTTAATTTGGTTTTTAAATTTTTTAAAATTTGCTTTTGGCCAGTCTCCTCTCTAGCCTGTTAAGCTCTGTGAGTACAGGACCACGGATGTCTGTCTTGTTCACTGTTCCATTCCCATCACGGAGCCAGGCCTTGGCCCAGGCAGGTCCTTAATGCTGACTTGCATGGATGAAAGGATGCAGATGAACAAATACATGAATGAATGTGCTGGGCCTGGATGCCCACCATGACATTGACTTGCATGACTTCCTTGTGAACTGGATCCAGTCTCCTCATTGTGCATATGTAGAAAGGGAGCGCAGAGAGGGTAGGGCAGGTAGGGCAGGAATGTGTTGGATGTTATTGGGTTTCCCTGCCCTCAGGACCCCTGAGAACCTCAGCTGTGCAATCCCATATTAATCTAACACTAGAAAGCAACACGTTTATGTTGGACACAGCCTGGACCAGAATCCTGCAGAAGGGCTATTCCTTCAAAAGGTGCTGATGCTGGTGTTGCCAAGGCAACACTGTTAGCTTTCTGGAGCATCTTTTATGAGAGACGTAAAGGCCCATACAGACACTGGGTGGGAGAAAAACCTGGAAAAAGGGGTCAAATTCTCTAGCTACCGAGACAAACCATCCTAATGCTGGCTGCCCCTTTTCCCCTGCAAGGGCCACTTTCTCCTATGCCCATGCTCATCATTTCTGGAGCATGCACAGAGAACTCTCTCCCCACTGTGGAAATTGTCTTTGCCAGGAACATGCAGAGATCTCAGGAACAGTGTGTTCTGCCTGGCTGGCTCCATCAAGATCTACAAGGTGCCAGCGGGAAAGGCAGAATGGTCCTTGGAAGGCTTTCCAGAAAGCTCCTTCAACCCATGATACAAGTGAAGGGGATACCACTCCTGCATTTTTTTTTGTGGTTGGTGCCAAGATGCTTCCAGAGAGCTCTGGACAAGGGAAGCAGCTCATAGGTGCAAGTGCACTGGATGTGGTGATTGTCTGTGCTGCCTCACGTTAGACTCCTTCCCTCTCTGAGCTCTATTTCTTCATTGCTAACATGGGGAGAACACTGGTCTGATGCAGGGAGAGGTGACAGGATTTTCCATAGGAACCTGTAGATGCAGGTGTCCCAGAAGCCAGTTCCCATAAGTAGCGGTCCTCCAGGACACCTGGCCAGGGCCACGACCACACCAGCTATGCCCACTGGAGGCTGTTATGCTACCCAGAGCCTTTCATCTGGTCTTGTCTGCAGCCATTGTGAGTCAAAGTCACCATCAGAATGGCTTTTATAAGTCAGCAGGTGGTCCATCCTTATTGCACAGACAGGGAATGGAGGCTCAGAGTGTCAGGGGCTATGCTCCAGGGCAGGGCCAGGACTGCAAACCAGGATTGAACATCCCTGGGCAGGACACAGCTGTGTCCTTGATAGGTTGGGGCAACTGGCGATGAGCCAGAGGCTGGGGCCAGGCCTTGGGGCAGGAAGGCTGGAGATGGAGCAGAGATGGAGAGAGGAGAGGTGGGAGTCAGAGAGAGAGAAAAAGTGATCACAGGTTCTTGCCTGCCCAGCACTGCTGCTTCCTGAGACAGCACCTCAGGTTCCCCTGCTAGATCCATGACTTGGATGGGACTGGCCCTGACCCTGGTTCTGAGCATGACCCTATGACCAGATCTGGTCACTGAGAATCACAGGGATAGGTGCAGGGTGGACACAGGGCCAGTCCTGGCTGGAAAGAATCATGCCTTTGCTGGAATCACTGGGTCAGGGGAGCTTTCTGTCTTAGGGGTGCGGAGCTGGGAGGACATGAGCCCAGGCTACTGCAGACATCTGTTAGGAGAGAACCTGACTGAGAAGTCTGCACAGCAGATGCAGGGCTGAGAGATGAAGAGGGAAACTTTTGAGCTCTTAGATCTAACTGCACCTGAATCCACCTGAAGACTTCCTGGTATGTGAGTTAATCCATTCCTTAGGCGAGGGCTTCTATTCCTTGTGCTGGAGAGTCCTGGCATGGAGGGGGCAGGCAGGCAAGAAGGAAGAATGGATATTTAAGAACTGGTGTCCCAGGGTAACCCAAATCAGCTTCTTGGCCTTTTTAAGGGAAACAAGTGCAGACAGAGATTTGGGCCTTCCCCACACCCAGAGTGGTGTTTCTGCAGGGCTCAGAGCTGTGTCCTCCTCTCCTCTGCAGCACGCTGCCAGCCTACAAACTGTAGTACAAAAATAAATGCTTACCTTACCTGGGGCTGGAGAAGGGGTGGCATGCACTAGACATCGATTTCCTCACCCCTCTCACCTCTTTGGGAACTAACATTTATTAGGCACCTGCTCCATGCCAGGCTCTGTTAAGAGGCTGACATACATGGTCTCACTGCCACAGTCCAGCGAGAAGGGAGTATCATCTCTACTTCTCCAGACAAGACAATTGAGGCTTTGAGAAGCTAGCCACTGGCCTCAAATTCAAGAGCAGGGTTGGGTCTTTCTTACTCCAAAGCTCTGCCCACAGCACCACTCTGCACACAGTAGGTGCTAAACCAGGGCCTGAGGAGCAAACACTGTGTAAGGCCATGTGAGCATTTTGGGCAGGAACCTGCCCTCCCTCCCTCTCCTCTTCCTGCCTGAAATGCCCATTAACAACCACATCCTTTGGTTTCCCTGAAGGAGGCTGGCATTGATGTGCGCTGGGTTTACTCAGAGGGTTGGCTGAGGTGGACCCGGGCCGGGCCAGAGCTGGCTGGGAGAAGGTGTCCTGCCTCCACTGCCCCAGCCTCATCCAGGAGGACATTTCAGGACAGAGGCACATCCGGCTTGGTCAGTCCTGGCTGGCCCAGGTGTCAGCTAGAGATGACAGGACTGTGGTGGCCTCATCAGGACTGAGGATGGTGACACCGTGATGGGGGTGGGTGGCAGAGGGTCTGTGGCTCCTCTCTTACCCGATCTTCTGAAAGAAGCTCAGAGGAGCCTCTGGTCTCCCAGGCTCAGGCAGAGGCCCAGTCTCCTTCGCTTCCACCTCCCATGGATGCCCAGCTGCAGTGCCACAGCTGGATGGGGCAGGAGGAGGGGCTGGGGTTCCAGCTGGGAGGCAGGAAGGATCTGGACCTGGGAACTGGTGTCCTGCCTAAGGCAGAGAGGCCAGGTGAGCTGGGGTTCCAGGGTGTGCTGAGGGGCAGTCCCCAGGTAGAGATCTGGTGTCCTAGGGTCAGAAGAAGCCTGGGAGGACACCAGCCAGCACAGAGAGGACACTGAGACCTAGACCTTCTTCAGGGATGGTGTGTGTCTGCCTTAACCCAGAGTTTCCTTCCAGTTGTTTCCAGAGGCTGTTTGAGGCCATCATTGTAGCCCTTGTAGCCAGAAGTGGTGAGTGCAGGTCGGGGTGGGGGCTGGGCCTCCTCATGACAGTGAGGACCGGCTGTTTCCAAGGGCATCCACAGCCCTAAGAGATGCTCTGGGATGAACGGGGCCCATTTTCAAATGAGTACATTTGGAGAAGGCTGCCCACTCTAACTCCTTCATGGGCGTTCACAAGGACCACATTTAAGGCTCTGACAAATCCTGCAGCTAAGACTGTTGACATTGATTTAACCTGGTGTTCCTCTTTCTCACTTGACCATTGTTACTTTTAGAAGGGAGCCTGAGTTATTTTTTCTGAAACAATTCTAGGGCATGCTGAGGGCAAAGGAATTCCTTTTAGATCTCCTGGAGCCCTTGAGATATCAGGTCTGAGCTCCAGATGCTGGGGCCTAGGAGGGGTGGATGGTGTTGGCTGGATATAATGATGCCCATTATGGGGTGGATGTAACCCCTTCAGCCTTGAACAGAAAGTTCAAAGACATCTCAAGGATGAAACAGGAGATGGCCTTCCCACCAAGAGACAGAATCTGGGCCCCCATCTGAGTAGTTGCCTGTTTGAAATACTTTACCACCTGCCTGAAATCCCGCCATTAGTCCTGTATTCCTCTGAGGGGCCAAATCAAGTTTGTAGCTCATTCAGGGTATTGTGACCCTCAAGCTGGCACATGACCCCTGCAGGAGACAGGAGGAAAGAAGAAAGAGGGATACTGCAGAGGCAGGGACACCAGATGTCCCCCCATTTCACAGCTTGAGGGGAAGGGAGGAGGCAGCTGACTCTTCTGGCCTCCGGGGTGAGGAGGGCTGGTTCAGGAGACCCAGTGTGTCCAGGACAGGGCCCTGGCACTGTGTCCTGTGTACTGTGACCATCTTGTCCAGGCTGCCAAGTCCTGGCTCCTCCTGTGGGTCCAGCCTCCGGGCGCCGCTGCTTGTTAGATGCCCACGGGACGCACCATCATGCGAGTGGCCCGCAGCGAGTAGCTGGGGCCCTGGAAGTAGTGCCAGCGGATGCCGTTGAGCTTGCGCACGTGGTGACGAGCCGGGTAGTAGATGCCGTTGAGGTTTGAGAGGCCGCAGGCATCAAACCACCATCCTGGTGGAGGGGAGGGAAATGCTTTGGGAAGGTGGGGGTCCAGCCAGTGGGGTGAGGGCCACCCCCTACCTCAAAGACCAATCAGGGCTATTGCCTCCTCCAGGAAGCCACTTCCAGAGATGGTGGGGGCAGGGGATGGGTAGTGAGTGGGGGGAGACTCCCAGATCCTCTGCTCAGCCTGGGGCCTCTGGAGTGCAGCCCTCTGATGGTCTCTCTGTGTGTATCTCTCTGATGTCTCTGTCTCTCTCTTTGGCCTCCATTGCCCTGCTTTTCTGGGTCCCTGCCTCACATATTGCGTCCATCTGTCTTTCTGTGGTCTGCATTTCTCTCCATCTCTCTCTCTATACTTCTGGCCCCATGTAGCTCTCTGTCACCATTGCTCTATGTCTCTGTCAGTCCTGGTGTCTCTTGCATCTCCATCGGTCCCTGTCTCTGTGTCTCAGGAAGTGTCTCCTTCTATCTCTATCCTTGCCACTCTTTCTGTCCCTCACTCATCCCCATCTCCCACTCTCTGACCTCTGTCCCCCCAAGGAACACAGCCCAAGCAACAGTTGTGGGGAGCTGCCCCTCTGCCCTCGTCCCGGTTCCCCCATCCTGGTCCTGCTTAGCCTGGGTGTGGGGACTTCTCAGGCCTGGGGGGGACTGATGGGGCCTTGTGCCTCCCTCAGGTGCCTCCTGGGGCCCCACTCTCAATGTTCTCCAGCCTGGTCTCAAAGGAAACTGGTTGCCCCAGTTTTAGGAGGAGGTGAGACCCTGGAGGTAACCTGGAGGACCCAGTGGGAGAAGGTATGGATGGAGCACAGCCAGGCCAGCCAGTGAGTGGGTGAGACCCCGGCTGCACCCATGTCCTGACAGCACGAGGCTGCACAAGGACCTGGGAGGGGAGGGAATGGGGGCGTCCAGCTAGGTGGGCCTGTGGGGAGATGGTGCTTCTCCCCACTCCGCACCCACCTCCAGACAGCATCTGGGCGCACTTGCAGAGACAGTTGTCGTTGTCTGCATCACGGGTGCTGAAGTTGGTGCCTTGCAGGACCAGGCTGCTCTGGCGCCCAGCTGAGCCACTGTACCCACTCAGAGAAAGCCTGGAGGCCACCAGAGGTGGTGACAGGAGAGGAGCCCAGAGTCAGGATGGGGCTGGTTAAGGAAGAGCCTCCCAGGAGGCTTTGTCCCAGGCTGTTCTGGGAGCTGTAGCCGGGCGGTCTGTCCCTCCTGGGTTGCCCTCCTTGCCTCTGCCTCCCAGGAACAGAGCACCAAGTGTGTGCCAGGCCACCCTCATCTCACTGAACGTGAGTCTTGGACAGTAAGAATGATCATGATAATAATAATGAGGACAATGGCTAACATTTTTTTGAACGTCTACTATGTGCCAGGCATTGTTCAAAGTGCTTTATATGGGTTAACTCGCTCGTTTAATCCTCACAACACCCTATTATTCCAATTTTACAGATGAGGTAACAGAGAGCCCGAGAACCAAAGAAGCCTGCCTGAGGTCTCAGAACAATTGAGGATGACTGCCAGACCCCAGCCTAGTAGGCATGGCCTGACTTGGGAGCTGTGTGCATTTTGCATCCTAGCTGACCATCCTGCAGCCCCAGCCCCATCACACCTCCTGACACCCACCACTGCCTCCGGGAAGCCTTCCCTGATCACACCAACCTATATGGATCTGTGCCTCAGCACAGCCCCTCCCCCTGTGACGTCCACTTCTACAGCTAGCTGGCCATGGTTTATATTTCTCTGCCAGGCTGTGAGGCCCTGGTGGGCACATTTAAGCCTGTGGGATGTTTACAACTGTGAGTTTTGGGGGCAGAATGCCTGGATTCATTGCCAGTTTTGCCACTCATCAGCTGCATGGCCTTGGGCAAAATGATTCACCTGTCAGCTTCAGTTTCTTCATCTGTTAAAATGGTGAGGATAGTAACACTAACTGATTTGATGGCTCCAGCGTGATAAGCACAGAGCAGTGCAGCACGTGGTAAGTGCTCAGCCCAGTTAGTCCTTGTTATTCAGCAAGGCTGTGTTCCCAGCCCTTCGCACACAGCTGCCGCAGGCTCCCACTGGGCCTGGCCCTAGAGGATGTTTGGCGCTTGTAGCAGGGGCGGGGCTGCACTGGCAGCGGAGGCGGGCAGCCAATTTGGAAGCAATTAAGGAGGTCCTATGAGTGGAGGCAAATGGACACCAGATGCAGCTAGGGGAGCTAGGGGAAGCTCTGGTTCCCCCAGGCCAGGACCTGGGAGATGCCCTCAGCAGGATCCAGAGGGAACATGGGGTCAGGGCATCTGTCCTGGCTCGGTCTCTGCCCCTTCCACCCATAAGTTTTCTATCTGTGGTGAGTCAGAGGCATGGCCCTCAGGGTCCAGACAGCTGTGGCCAGCCGCAAAGCCCCAACCATGCCCTTTAGACATGCCGCCCTGTGCTCACATGACTGGCATTGCAAACCCCCTGCAGAGGCCCGGCTGGGGCTTCCTGGGGTGGGAACAGGAAGGCTGGCCCAACAGCTCAGTCCTTGTTTCTCTTTGTGGCCACTGAGTGCTCCCCTTGAGGTTTTAGTGACATTAGTTCAAGGCCAGGCTTGGGGGTCACGCTGAAGTCTGGGGTCACATTCTGTCTGAGGCTGTGTGAAATCAGGGCTGGACAAAGTGGTCTCATGGGGTCACTCCAGCAGCACTGCCCCACCCTATTGTCCCCAGACTCCAGCACAGGCTCTGCCTCTCTTCCCTTCCCTTCTGGGGGATGGGATCTGTGACATCTGGGGCCCCTCAAGTTATGGACCAGGAACCCCCTTTGACCCATTGTTCAGATGCACTTCTGGATACAATTTTGCATTCCTGAGTATGTGTGTGTTTGTTCTGAGTTTGTGCTGGAATATCTGTCGTGGGTCTGAGCTGTGCTCAGGAATCTGCTTTGTGCCTGGGACTGTATGTGTGTGTTCACCTGTGAGGGCCTCTGTGAGGCCCATTTGCACATGTGTCTGGGTGTGTGTCTGTGTTTGTGCAGCAATGCTCCCATGAGTCTGTGTGTTTGTAGGCCCAAGCATGTGCCCCGGAGTGTGGTGAGCCTCTTCACATTTGCGTGTGTGTCTGCTTGTGTATCTACGTGTGCATCTTGCATGTGTAGTCAGATCTGGGTGTGTGGCACCTCTGGGAGGCATGTGCCAGTGTCTTTATGTGCCTGCGCCTTGTCTATGCCTCCCTCCATCCCTTTCCATGCACCACTTCCTCTGCAGACTTATGCATGCACCCCAGCCAGGCTCCAGAAGGCCCCCATTATTGTGTGTGCCAAATAAGGGCACCCCTCCTGCAGCAGCTGTTGACTGCCCATGCTTTGCCACCTCTGGGCTTCCCTATGACTCTGAACAGTGGGTGTACAGGGATCAGAATTTGCTCTGTCACTCTCCCTATGGCCTTTCTCTGGCAGCTTCCAGGGCCCTCTGTGCTTTCTAGGATCTCTACTCAGTCTCCCAAACTTTTCCTGAATAAGCGGGGACTCTTCCTTATGACTCCACCAGCCCTTGAAAGAGCTTTGGGGTATCTGTGGCCAGCTGGGTGGTCCCCTCTCTCTGCTTTTTTTCAAAACATCCCCACTCCCTGAGATGCCCTTCCTATCCTCTCTTTGTCTGGAGAATGCCTACTGTTCATAGGTATCACCTCCTCCAGGGAACCCTCTCTGAGGGCTCAAGCACCTCTTTGCTCCTGTACTTTCCCCTTAGGCATCTCCTGTCTCCCCGGGGGTGTGGGATTGCTTGTGGACATGCTCACCCCCAGATACACATGACACACTGGACTGTGAACAACTTTGAGGGATGGGGCCCAGGTCTGATTCTCAATTGTTCTTTCCTGGTGCAGGACAAGGGTTCAATATACTGTTATTATTTAGGGCTCTGCTGAAGGCCAAGTAGCTGTTCCTTTGAGGCCTGGGAATAATAGTTTGGAACCATGGGTAGGAAGTGCTCCATGGCTCAGATAAAAAGCCAGAGGCAGCATATCAAATTCACATATGAGAGCATAGCAAGGGGTTTCAAAGGTCATAAATATGTTTGCATAGATGGACATAAATTACAGAGATCTACATAGATGAACAGATATTATATTTCTGTCTTGGAATACACTGTATATCTCCAACACTTATTTAATGTTTACTTTATGCTAGGTGTCTTTGCAAAGATTATCCCAATTATGACACAGATACTATATTTCACAGTGTGGAAACTGAGGCTCAGAGAGGTTAAGTAACTCCTTTAAGGTCACAAAGCCAATAAGTGATGGAGTTGGGATTCATGCCAGGCAGTCTGGCTCAAGCACTATGTTCTTTAGTGCAGTAAGGTACTTCTCCCAATATTTCTTCCCCAAGAAAGATGGCAGATCCTAGACTTAGGGTCACAGAAGCTACTACCTAAGAATTGGGTCAGGGAGATGAGGATTAACTACTAGGTATGTAGGAAAAATCCCCCAGCTTCCTGTTAATGCACTTAGCATGTAGCAGGCATTGGGGATGGGTATAGCAGTGAACTCAGAGCAGACAAGCCAAGTGTGTGGGGCTGCCCTGGGAGCAGCAATAACAATATTATTTGTTGAACATTTTCAGTCACTGTGTTAATGATCTATGAGCAGTATCTCATTCAAGCTTCATTAATACTTTGAATATGGTAGTTATACCTAGGACACCCATTTTCCAGATGAGAAGGTGGAGGGACTTGTTAAGGGTTACTCGAGGAGAGAGGGATAGAGTCAGGACTTAAGCCTTGGCTTAAGTGGTGGTCAGTCACTTAAATAAGAGTCAGCAGGGTGTTGTGGCTACTTACTGGTCTGCTTGAGGAGTAGGGGGACATCCAGCTCAGCCCTGTCTAGCCCAGACCCAGGGGACATGTCATTCAGCTCTGAACTTTGCAGTTTAAGGAGAAATATGGTCAGATTGGGGTGGGTCCCCAAAGGAGGGATGTCAGAACCACCTAGCTGGAGGAAGCAGGGACATTTAAGAAGAGACGGGGTTAGGGGCCCAACATTGAAAAGCCCCCAGAAGTGGGATTAGTGCAGGGAAACAGAGAGTCATCAGAGATTCCTTGGGAGGAAGTGACCTTCCCATCAGTGGAGGCATTCCAGTATGGCTGGATGATGACTGTGGCTACGCAGGAGATTCTAGCAACATGTGAAGAACCAGATGACATGTGCAGTGCTTTGTAGCCCTGTGAGTGTGAGTCGATGAATTCAATTCTGTCCTGGTTCAAAGACACCCAGAACCAGGCATATATCTTCAAGATCCTGAGTTTATCAGAGAGGCAATGTCATGTAATGGAAACACCATGAGTTTTGGCAGCATGGAAACCTGAGTTCAAATCCAGACTCTACCTAAGTAGTAACTCTGGACTTGAGACTTGAGCTCTGTCTGTGCCTCAGTTTCCACATCAGGTAAGTAAAGCAATACTTACCTGAGAGTGTTGTGGGAAAGGCTGAATGGACTAATGTGCCTGGAGCATAGTAGGTGCTCAGCAAATGCTCATTCCTTTTTCTAAACAGAGCCAAGAGCCAGGTTGAGGGAGTGGGAGGGACCTAAATGATTTTATAATAAACTCATATTTAAGTGCATTCTGTACTTAAGAAGCAGAGGTACGGAGAAGCCAGAAACTTGATTTGTCTTAGTTCACAAAGCAAGTTGGAGCACAGCCAGAATGAGCCCAGGCTCTCTAATTCCCAGATCAGGGACCTTTCCACCTTGCCCCACAACATAGAACAAGCTGGGAAAGTCACCTCCCCATTCTGGGCCTCTGTAAAATAACTGAGTTGGACTTTGGAAAACAGTTTATCAATTTCTTAAAAAATTAAATATACATTTACCTCCTAAAAAAAAATGACTGAGTTGGGGTGATCAACCTTGGAAGGCCCTTGAGCTCCTGGGATGGCAGCATCAGTGACATTCCATTCCACCCAGTGGCTGGGACGTGTTGAGTGCTAACCAGCCCGCCTCCAGATCCCATGACGTTCACCCAAATGGGGGGCAGATGGTAGGAACAGGAGATGCCCAGGGACTGACCTTTGGTGCAGACTTTGTAGTCACTAGCCTGGAGACACCAGCCCACCCACCAGCTTGGGCCCCAAGCCCACCTGTACAGCTGCCCCTCGCTGCCCAGCTGGAAATGTTCATACTGGGCATAGGCCTCGTTGCCTTCCCAGTCTTGCAGCTCCACACGCAGACAGTAGGCTGTCCTGCTGGTGAGCTGGTGCACCACCTCATTGCCCAGCCAGTGCTCCCCGGCCGGGTCACCGAAGCCCTAAGGAGAGTGGAGGGTGGGGTGGGCTTCATGCCAAGGAGGGAGGCTATGCCCCTGGCTGAGAAGCTTGGCTGGGCCAAGCTCAGGGGCCACTAATCCAAAACCACTTTGCCTAATGATCAAGTTCATTCCACTGGCCTGCCAGTGGAAGCTTCCCAGCAACTAGAGCAAAAAGACTAAGACGTTTGTAAATGTAAAAGCCTGTTGAAAATAATTGAAATCACATTTCTTTGAAGTTCAAAAACAGGAAAAATGAATCTGTGGTGATAGAAGTCAAAATAGCAACTACCTTAGGGGAATATTGACTGGGAGGGGGCCCAATGAGGACTTCTGGGGGTGCTGGAAGTGTTGTATATCTAGCTTGGAATGGTGGTCACACAGATGAATACAAGTGTAAAAATTCACTGAGTCTCACACTTAAGATTTGCACACTTAGCTGCATGTATGTTAAACATCAATAAAAAAATTAAATATTTAATCAGCTGCATAAATTGTAGAGCAAACTGTTCAGTGACATGGCAGCCACTGCAAAATTTCGGCAACATAGAGAAGTAAAGCTAGGACAGTTGGGAGTCACCAGTATCCCAGGTTTAGGAGAAACAGATGCCTTTGCCCAGAACAACAATTCAGCACCAAGGACAGGGGAATACCTAAGCCCCACTCCCCATTTTAGTCACATTGTACCACTGATTGCTTAATAGTTAGTATTCAGTATGCTTTTGTGTATTTCTGCATCTAAGCACTCTTTTTCTCTTTACCATTCTTAATGATTTCTTAAAGCCCAACTGGTCCAAGAACACCCACAGCTTAATTTGGTATTTATTTTTAAATATTTATCAAATAAACAACAAGCAGACACAGATAACACTGCTGTTTCCATGTGAGTATCTTTTTCTATTTCTTTTGCTTTCAAAAGTGTAAGAGCTTTTGTCAGCTTGCCAAAAATCCTTTATTCAACATTTAATTAAAAAACGCTGTAAGAGAATTGTGCACTATTTCTCATTTTGTAAAATGCATGGGGTCTTTGAGCAAGTCCACATTAAAAACTCTCTCCTACAGATGTGGTCACAATGTGTGCAAAGACAATGCAGTCAAGGGTGGGGAGGAGATGACTTTTTTCTGTTCCCCTTTTTGTACTCTTTAAAAACCTTTAGCAATGTATGTGTATTATCTTTCCAAAATTAAAACAAAAATAAAGTTAAAATATCATTTTTAGGATATATATATCATAAATTGCAAAAAGAAGGTTCATTTTCAGGTGATGGAGTCCCTGAAAGTGAATGTACATGGGGCAAATCTGAAGGTTGTTGTTTTTCAGTGGGCTGATTTTTTTCTGGGAAGGGTTGAGGGCAGACCAATCCCCTGTCCACAACCCACTTCCTGCCCCAGGTTTCAGGGCTGAAAAACCCTTCTGTAGGGCAGCTGTGTTACCTGTTTGTAATCCTTCCAGTTCTGCTGGAAATTCACACTGCCATTCTCACGGCGCTGGATGAGGGTCCATCCGCCTCCACTGGCCTCCATGTCACAGAACACCTGGAGGGAATTGAGGAGTAGGGGTAGGAGTTGGAAGCCCTTGGAGGCAGCCGGAAGCAAGACTGGGCTAGCCCAACTGTGATCGGCTGACAGAGCCCCACAGAGCAAAGGGAGCCTGGTGGTCAAGGGCATCAGAAATATTCAGGTTCAAATTCCCCACCTGTTGTCATCATTATTCTAAATGGTGGGCAAATGGTGTCCTCTCAGAGCCTTCCTTTCCTCCTTTGTAAAATGGGGATATTAATATTTAGCCTCTTTGTGTCTCAGCTTCTCATCTGCAAGCTGGGCTTATGAGAAAGACATGTGTCATCTAAAGAACAAACAGATGGACATGCAGACGGCCGACAAACACATGAAAAGGTGCTCCACATCACTACCCACCAGGAAAATGCAAATCAAAACCACAATGAGGTATCATCTCACATCAGTTAGAATGGCCGGTATCAAAAAGACAAAAAATAAAAAGTGTTGGTGAGGATGTGGAGAAACGGGAACCCTTGTGCACTGTTGGCGGGAATGTGAATTGGTGCAGCCACTATAGAAAGCAGTGTGGAGGTTCTTCAAAAAATTAAAAATAGAAATACCATACAACCCAGTAATTCCACTTCTACTTATTTACCCCACAAAAACAAAAACACTAATTCAAAAAAAGATATATGCAACCCTATGTTTATTGCAGTAGTATTTACAATAACTAAGATGTGGAAGCAACCTAAGTGTCCACTCATTGATAAGTGGATAAAGATGCAGGACATATATTATATAGTGGAATATTACTTGGCTATAAAGAATATTGAAATCTTACTGTTTGTAATAACATGGATGGACCTAGAGGGTATAATGCTAAGTGAAATAAATCAGTCAGAGAAAGACGAATCCCAAATAATTTCACTTACATGTGGAATCTAAAAAACAAAATAAATGAACATACACAACAGAAATAGACTCATAAATACAGAGAACAAACTGGTGCTTTCCAGAGGGGAGGGGAGTTGGGGGATGGGCGAAATCAGTTAAGGGGATAAATAGTTACAAGCTTCTAATTATAAAATAAATAAGTCATGGAGAAGAAAAGTACAGCATAAGGTATATAGCCAATAATACTGTAATAACTTTCTATGGTGACTACACTTAGCATGGTGAGCATTTGATAATGTATATAATTGTCAAATCACTATGTTGTATACTTGAAATTAATATAATATTGTATTTCAACTATACTTCAATAAAAAGAAAAAATAAAGAACAGAGCCTGGACATACTAGGAACTAAGTAAATGGAGCTTTTCACTTGCTATTGCAGAGTTGCTGTAAGGAATAAATGCTGAGAGGTATAACATGCTTGGCACACAGTGTAGACTCAGGAAACATTATTACATTCAGTGGGCAAATGTTCTCTCCATACCTACTATGTGCCAGGCTCTATTCAAGGCACGGGGGATGCCAAGACGGATAAGACGAAAAGAGTTCTTTCCCTCAAAGAGCGTACCATCCATCGTAGTCACATCCTTCAGTCTAACTTTGTTCATATTATTTTTCCAGCCAGTTCACTACATGTTCAGTGTTCAATGAGGACACACTTGGTGCTTGGCTCTGTGCTAGATGAATCTGAGATAAGTCAGAGATAAATCAACCCCCATGCCTAGCTTGGTCTGGAGGAGGCTATGACAGGGCAGGCAGACTATTGATTATGAACATTTGGGCTGCTACAAAGATAGCTCTTAAGAAGGAGACATGCGGCAACTGTAGAAGGCTTCTCAGAGGAGGTGGCATTGGAACGGGGCCTTGGATGAAGACGTATCTGCCATGAAGAGACAAGTGGGAGTGGCATTTCCAGAGGAGGAAGCATCTCTAGGATGCTAAAGGCCAGGTCAGGGTGAGAAGACAGTAGCCTCTGTTGTGGGGGTAGCAGAGGGAAGGGAAACTGGGGCTCACAGACAAGGGACTTGCTCAAAGCAAGTGAGTCAAAAGTAAAGCTGAGGTTTGAGCCCATATCTCTTGCCTCCCAGGCCAGCTCTTGCCTCTCTATCAGCATTCCCAAATTTCAACCACTCACACTATCCCAAATTCTACCGTAGCTGAATTTACTTAATATCATATAGAATATTTACTTAAAAAAGTGTCCTTTTCTTTAAACTTATATACTTAGATTAAATGTATTTTAAAAGGAACTCGTATCTGTACCATAAGTGGAAAACTAGTAATACTTGCCTTTATTCAGATAATGTAAAGATAAATATAACAAAACCAAAATAGTCTACAGAATTCTAGCTAGAAATTGAGAGCCTGATGTCTCTCTGTCAAGAGTGGAGTCTAGCAGGTGTGAGAAGTGTTAAAGACAGTCTGGAAACAAACAGCCATTCTTCCTTATACATTCAAAAGGGCTGAAAAAAGAATCTTGGAGCAGGAAGACAGGCTAGCTGTTCCACATTCTCTTCCATTTCTGGGCCTGGCCCTGAAACCCTCTGGCCTGATATCCAAGCTTTTCCTTAACCCCCCTATCCACCTGATATCTGGATCTCAATCCTCAGGGCAACCTTGGAAGCCACTCATTGAAGATGGTGGGGTCTTCATTAGCCCTGGTCCCTAATTTCCCACATGCAGCAGAGCCCCCACACTTGTATTCAACTAGACTATAGGTAAACAAGAAATAAACTTTCTGTTAAACCCCTGGAATGTCATAGTTTTTGTTATATTTGTTATTTGTTAACCAACACAGAACTTTTTCCTGCTTTCCAAGTAAAAGCTGCAGGAGAAGGATGTACTTCCAACTCTAGGAACTTCTGCCTTAACCCCATGATGATCCCTGACTGGGTGGGGGCTCTAGAAGGCAGGGCCACCCCACCTTCTCTGGTATCTCAGATGTTGGACAAGGCCTAAAGCTGGTGGTGGGGGGCTGCGCCTGTCTAGGAGGCCCTTGGCTCAGCACCCTAATAGCCTCAGCTCCCGGGGGGTCCCCTAACCTTCCTGGGCTCTGTCATATTGGCCACATGGATGGTGTAGATGCCACTGGCATTGGCCCCGAAGCGCTGGATCTCTGCACAGTCCTGGAACACCTGCTCAGCTGTCCTCATGGAGGCTGCAATGGGACAAAGCAAAAGCAATTGGAGGTGAGCTAAGGAGAGAAGGGAGGGGCCAGGTGGGCACTCCTGCCAGCTCTGTGCTGTGTTCTGGGTTGGGAGGTGCTGGAGGTGGGGAGATGTATCAGACGTGGGAAGGTTCCCTAGGGGAGGTGACAGCGAGCTGGGATGTGGATAAGGAGCAGGAGTTACCAGGTGTTCCAGGCAGTGAGAAGAGCATATGCAATGTCTCCAAGGTGGGAACAGTCCTGGTGTGTGCAGGGAATAGGGTGAGCGTTAGGGAACTGACTGAGGCCAGGGATGCGCAGTAACTCACACCCTGAGAGCAGAGCTCAGGATCAAAAGAGCACTGGCTGCTTGCTGAATCTAAGAGGAGTAGGGTGAGGTGGCACAGAGGGGTCACCAAGGAAACAAACGAGCTGAGACTGCAGCAGGGCCCAGGCCCAGCCTGTGTCAAGGAAGAGTACTCTGGCCAGGATGTGGAAGAGACTGAAGGGGATGAAACTCAAAGCAGGGAGGCCAGAGATGAAGCTGCTGGAGTCTTCCAGGAGAGGTAAGTGGGGCCTGAACTCCAATGAGGTCCTTCCTCATTTCACAGACCAGGAAACTGTGACCCACGGGTGAGGTAATTGGTTCAAGGGCACACAGTTGGGCTGGGCAGAGCCTCCTCTCTCTCCAGGTCTTATGGGGAATTTGTTCTCAGAGCTCCCTTGGGCAGGAGGCCTGGGGCCCCCTCCACAGCCCACTCCTCCAGCCGGATATCCCCGCATCCCTGGAGGTGGGCCCCTCATTACATCCTCCTGAGATCTGACCGCTGGTCTTAGGGGCCTGTGTTTCTTCCCTCAGGAGAATACTAGTTTAATGACTGAACCCCACCAGGACCCTGGGGGCCTCCAGGCCTAGCCTGAAAAAAGTGACTGTTGATAAGTGATCTACAGGGGTTTCAAATCCCCTATCTGGTTGCTTTAGTGGCATCCAGTTGGGAGGTATGGGCTGGGATTCCACCAGAATCCAACCTCTGTGTGGGTAGGGCTAAAGTTCTGGATGGACAGGTATCCTCACCAGTGAGGAACCAGAAGGCTGCCAAGGGGCAGGACTTCCTGTTTTGACCTCATCTTGAGCCTGGATCTTGGGTCCTGGTGCTGGAGCACCAGTTGGAAGGAGGCTGTTGTTCCCAGATCACAAATGAAGTGACTAAGGCCCCAAGTCCATCCTAGCCCATGCAGAAACATTCCCTGGATAGGGTTCCTGTGGCCCCACCTGTCAGTCAGCCCCCTGGCCCATTGCAAAATGAAGTCCAGCCAAACATGGGGAAGGTGCTGGCCTAGAGGCAATCAGGACAGGTCCTGCTTCACCCAGCCAGGCAGAGGCAGAGCTGGGAGTTGGCCTCAGATTTTCAGCTCTCCTTCCCAAGGCTCTGCTCACTATTGTTTCCCTTAGTCAACAAAAATAATAACAATAAAAGTGAAATACCCACTATGTATTGTAGTGTTTCTTGGACAGGTACTGCCAAGGGCAGTTTGGACCCAGGAAAACTATTTTGGGTGGTGTTGACTAGGGATGGACCAGTATTGATATGCAACATAGTTTGGCCTCAGTCCAGACTCCCTTTGAATCTTTGTGCCACCTGTACCCCCTTTTGGCCCTAGGCACTGTGCTCAGTCCCTTCAGGTACCTGAACTCATGTGATCCTCTGTACAAGAAGTCTGTGAGATAGATGCTATTATTATGCCTATTTTATAGGTGAGAAAAATTGAGACATTAAATGACTTGTGCAGAGTCCCAGGGCTAGTAAGTGACGGGGCTGGAGCTTGAACTCTGGTCCATCTACTGGAGAGTCAGTACCTTGCCCTCTACCCACCTCCCCTTGGGTCTCCACCACTGAGCCTGTTTAAGGCTGGACAAAAATACTGAGTCAACGAAGTCTGCTTCTTATATTGTGCAGGGGGTTAGGTCTTTTCTACGTGTGTCCCTGTCCTTCTAACCTGCTGAGCACCCTGAATTCTCCACCCTTGGCCAGCATACACCTGCCTGGAACAAAGCCACGCAGAGAGGGGGGTGCATGCTTCCTGCTAGGCTTTAAGGATGCCTGGTTCCTGGGCCTGTTTCTGTCCAATCTTCTGTTTTAGACCTGGTGACTAATCCTCTTTCAGTGTCTCTGTCTAGACGAGGAAGAGAAACAACTCTGTAGTGCCCTTTCCTGGTGTCACTGTGGCAGAAGGACAGGGCATTTGGGAAAAGGATACCTGAGGCGAGGTGCCCAATACAACCTCCCACCCAGAGTGGTGAGCAGACACTGGGCCACAGCTGGAAACAGCGCTGGGTGAGCCTGTGGGGAGAGGCCACATTGCCAGGGCCATGCACAAGCTGGCAATGGGTTCTGGTCACTCCACATCTCATGGTTTGGGATGTTTCCACCTCTTCTGCCTGCAGCTTCCTTGGGACCTCAAACACCCAGCCTGCACAGCCTGCCTGCCTTAGATGCAGCCACGGTGCCATCACAATTGCTGGATTCCTTGTGCCTTAAAGGTTTTGCAGCCTCCCTGTGGCGAGCTTTTCTCGCTCTTTCTCACCAAGCCATTCTCCACTCCCTGGTTCCAATCAAGCTTCCTAAAACATAGTCCCACTTGGTTCAAAACCCTCCACAGCTCCCGCTGCCCTCAGGTTCAAGTCTCCTTTCCTCAGCACAGCCTTTTAGGCCTCCATGGTCTAGAAACTTCAGGAACACTGCTAGCACATAATCTGGCACATAGTAGACACTCAACAGATGTGCTACAAACATCCTCCTCCTTCTCTGAGACTCACAGTCGGAGGCTTGGGCAAAAGAGGCAGGGGCCACAGCTATGCTCTTCACTGCTGTGTCCCCAGCATCCAGCACTGGGCCTGGCACACAGTGGGTGCTCAGTGAAGGTTTGTTGACTGAGTGATTGATGCTGAAACCAGGAATGCCTTGGTCACCTCGAGTGGGCCCTGTTAGACGGAGTCAGTGAACATGGGGACCCTGCCCAGGCACTGTCTTCTCTGCTCAGATGCCAGGCCCAGAGATGCCTCCTCACTGCTGTTCGGCTTGGAGGCAAGGGCATTAGGGTGAGAGAAGCCCTTCGGGGCGCTGAGTCCAACCTTTCCATTCTATCCACAGGAACACTGAGGCCCTGGGAGTGGGGTGCAGATGGACGGTGGATCCTGGAACCCAAACTTGTCAGTCTGGGCTCCTGGAGTCCTTGTATTAGGATCACCCCATTAAAGAGATGGTGAAACTAAAGTCAAGAGAGGCACAGGGGCATGCCCAAGGTCACTCATGGAGTCAGGGGGTAGAGTCTGGAGTGGTTCGTCTTATGGCTGTTGTCACCATTGTTATTATTGTTTGTTGCTATTCCTATTTCACAAGTGGTGGTAGAGGGGTGGGGTCTTTCCAGGGCCGGAGTGAACCCGGAGGGGAAGCGGGGTCTCCCTCCCCTCTTCTGCGTCCTCCCGCACAGGGCGCACGCCACTTGCTCACCCGGTCCATGGGCCACGACGCGCACCAGGCGCTGCACCGACTCGAGCAGCTGGCGCTGCTGGCGCTGCAGGAGGCTGGAATTGCTGCTGGCGGCCCGCAGGCTGCGCTCCAGGCCGGCGAGGGCGCCGCTCTGGCGGCCCAGCAGGCGCCGCAGCCGCTCCTTCTCGCCGCGGAGGCTGGCCAGCTCCGCCTGCTGCTGCGTCTCCAGGGCCTGCACCCGCGTCTCCAGGGCGCTGCGGGCGGGGGCGCACTGGGTGAGGCCGCTGTCCCCACAGTGCAGTCACGCTCGCTCGCTTTCCCCTGGGTCCCGTGGTGACTCCGCGTCACAGACCGGCGCTGGGCTCAGAGAGGTGGAGCGGCCTGCCCAGGGTTACACAGCTCGGAGGTCCGTGCACAGCAGTGTCTCAGAGTGAGGAAGGGAAGAGAGAGGGACCTGGCCCTGGAGTAAGATGCACTGGGATCCAGTAGAGGAAAGAGGTGGGGGTGCAAGGGACACGCCAGCAACCAGGGAACCATTATCAAACTCCAAACACTCCTACCCTTTGCCCTAGCAACCTTCTCTCAGGAGCTAACCTCCGAGGAGCAAGGCAAGAACGCCCCTTGGGGAAATGGTTGTAACAGGGAAACACCAAATGGCCTGGCCAGCCAGGAGCGGCAGAAGCTGTTCTGTTTTGGTGTCCCTGGCAATGTTCTGGAGCCATGAAGAGGAAGGGGGCAGAGTGGGTTTGCACAGAATTGGAAAGATGCCCAGGACGGAGAGTGGGCTGACCTGGGCACATCAGAGCCTCTAGTCTAACATTGCACTTGGGAAGATAAAACAGAGAAAGAGAAGAGGTACTAATGTCAGTGTAGTACCAGTGAGCTTACAGGACAAGGTGCCGGGAGACAAGGGGAAGGACACAGTGGTGCCTGTGTGTGTGGAGGAATGGAAAGGCAATCCGCTAGGTGCTGTAATTTAGGCAGAGCAGGTCCAGTGGATGGAGAGGGAGAGGAGGCAGTTTGGGGCAGGTGGAGGGGACCGACTTGCCCTCTCATTTTCCACAGGTCTCTATTGTCTGTTGAGGTAACAAGCATGAGGCATTTTTGTCATGAGTTAAAAAAAAAAAGAAGAATTTTGAAAAAGAAAGAAGCATTTTCCTCAGCTCTTGCGCTTTTGGCATTTCATCCTACAGACCTGCGCACATGTGTGCAACGAGATATGGGGACATTATTCATCGCATCACTGGTTAGAGTGGGAAAAGACTGGCAACAACCTCATGTTCCCTGGGGACTGGGGAAGTAAATGGAGGGACAGCCATACCACAGAATGTCATGCAGTTGGAGGAAACAATGAGCAAGTGTGACATGCAATTACAGAACTGTTACCAGGATAACTAAAAAAAAAAAAAAAATATGTGGAAAAGCTGTCTGCTACATTTGGATTTAAAAAAGGCAAAAAAGGGACTACGCATGCATGTTTGTCTAAATATCTGTAGGAAACCCTGGAATATCAGCTTCGAGAACGTCAGGTCCACGAGGACAGGGATTTGTGTCTATGTGTTCACTTCTGTAACTCCAGCATCTGATAGTGCCTGTCATTTGGTAAGTGGTAAGAGCTTCCAACAATAATTGTCAATTGCACACATGGAAGGACACACAAAAAACTAGGAACAGTGGTCACCCCAGGCTGTGAGTGGGTGGTGGCTGAGACATAGGGAGAGGAAGCTGACATTGTCCTATATATGAGATGATGATGACCTGTTTTTCAGACTAAAACAATGAGTCCAGCTAGGACAAAGGAATTTTCCTTGGACTCCAAATTATTCTGCAGAAAGAGAGAGAACTTGGGCACACTGGAATTCTAGAATTTTAGCTGTCTCCAAGGTCTGAGAGCTTATTGATGATCTCCTCCGATCTTCACTGGTTTGTAGGCACCTGGTGCCAATGCAGAGTGATTCAAAGTGTTCTAAGCCTTGTCCTCCCACACCTTAGGGTGGGGAATAAGAATAAGAAGGCAGACAAACTATCATTAACTGTATGCAGATCAGAGGGAGCTTGGCCATCCTTATGGCCTTATCTTGATCCAGCACATGAGCAACAATAACATCTCAGCCTGTACACGGGCCTGTGGCTGCTTCAGTGCGTGAGGTTTGTCTCCTCCAGCACCTTGACATTGGTAGTTTTTCTCCACTCAGCTTGAAATTGAGATGAAATCAGGCTCAGATGTCTGTTTATCTGTCTTATCTGTACCCCATGACTCTTTGTTTCTTTATAATTTAAGGGTGTTCCCCTCTTGCTTATTTACTTATAACTACAGAGATTCTTTGCTAGTGTAGACAAGAAACTTATAACTGTGGTTGCTTTTGGAATGGGAATTGGTGGATTAGATCAGATTTATTTATTTGCAAAATAGTCAATCAGATTAAAATTTACAGGGTGAATTGCATGATATGTAAATTGTAGATCAATAAAGCTGTTAAAATTTATAAAATAAATAAATGTAGCAAGGAAGAAAAGAAAGAACGGAGAAAGAATCAGGGTGTCCTGAACCTCAGGAAAATGCCTGTCCCTGTCCCTACCCGGTGTGGGTAGACAGGCTCCAGCCCCAGCCTGGCTCAGTGCATGTCCACCTTACTCCCAGCTTCAGTCTGGTCTCCAACCCTGGTTACAGTCCTTAGCTCAGCCCTAGCCAGGCCTTACTCTAGCTCCAGCCTTGGCCCCTGAAACAGTCCCTACCTCCAGTCCTATGCCAGGTCCCTGGCTCTGGCCCCTGTCCCCGTCTCAGGTACGAGCCCCAGTCCAGCCCTGGCTCTGCCGCCCATCCTGGGTCCCAACCCCACCTGGGTCCCAGCCCTGGCCCCAGCCCCTGTCTCAGCCAGGTGCCAGTGTGCCAGGGAGCCAGGGCCCACCTGTTGTGGTCCTGAAGCCGATGGAGCTCATGGCCCTGCAGCAGCAGCTGCTTCTCCAGCTTGTTGGTGGACAGCGAGGTCTCCAGCAGCTGGACCTCCATCCGTGAGGTCTGGTTCAGCACCTGTTCCGGGGAGCAGGAGGGCGTGGGGGGCTACCTCAGCTGCAGGAGCCCTGCCTAGCAGACAGATGCTCACCTGCCCACAGGCTCTGCTATTCCCGAAACTTGTTGACTTATTTCCACCCTCCAGTAGTTAGTTCTTGTGGTTGTTCATCCATTCAGCCATTCATCCACTCACAGGCCCTAACTGAGCATGTGATCTGCTTCCTGAACTTCACTGCGTATAGCCCTTCCATCCCTCCTGCAGCTCAGGCCCTGGGAGGAGTCACCCTCGATCCCCACATCCAATCCATTGGCAAGTCCCATCAGCTCAGCCTTCCAATGGGTACCTAACCACCTCCCTCCTCCTCTGTGGCCCCCACTCTGGCCCTGGTCTCCATCGTCTAGGATCCTGTGTCCTGTGCCAACCTCCTCACAGGGCTTTCTATTCCCACCCACCCTTATCCCTGAAGTCCATTCTCTGCTCAGCAGCCTTTTAAGGTGTAGCTCCTCTGCTCAAAATCTCCCTGAGGCTCCTACCTCACACAGTGGAAAAGCCCCAGTCCTTACCATGTGCTGCCAGGCCCAGCAATGCCATCTGTCCCCACTACTCTACCCCTGGTCGTTCCAGACACACTGGCCTTCTTGATGTTCCTGGAGCTTGTTAGCAGGTCTCACCTCTGGGCGTTTGCACATGCTGCCCCCACTGTCTGGAAGGCTCTCCTAGTAAGCCTGGCTCCAATCCTACCTTCTCAGTGGTAGCCTCACTATCTAAACTGCAACTCATCCCTTCAACCTCTCAAAGCACACAGTCCCTATCGCTCTCTCATGCATGTTATTTTCCTCCTTAGAACCTTCATCATCTCACACACACACACACACACACACACACACACACACACACACACACTATATATAATTTATCCTGTTAGTTTTCTTGGTGTTCACTAGAGATGAAGTTCTGTGGGGTGGATTGGGATGCATGCCTGTTTTATTTACTGCTATAAACTAGAACCAAGCATCTCCAACAATGGCTGACACACAGTAGGGGTGCAACAAACACATACATGCCCATGTGTCATTCATCTTTTCATCCATTCATGGACTCACCCTCTCGTTTATACACCTGCTCTCCCACTCCAGTGCCCCCTCTCTCAGAGTCATAGGCTCCCCTGAGATCTGTCATTGGCTTCCCCTGGAGCACTGAGCCCCCTGAGGGAGTGGGGGAGTGTGCTGTCCCTCCCCCCATCCCAATGCCCAGCACAGACTTGGACACGGGAATCACAGAGGCAGAAAGGCCATACCCAGTGTCCACCCCCAGGGCTCATGGCCTGGTGGGTAGCAGTTTGGTGAGAGGGGAATCAGGGAGGGGCCCCAGGGGGCTGCAGGCCCAGAGGAGGCCCTAACTTACCCAGGGAGGACAGAGGTCAAGACAAGATGACCTGGGCTGTTAGCCACAGGCCCCCCTGTGTAACCCACCCATCCTCAAGTACCTGCGCCTCCACATCGGTCAGCTTGCGGGTCTGGGCAGTGGTCTGGTTCAGGAGGTTGGTGCCCAGCTCCAGCATGGTGGCTGTTTGGTTCTGGACCATGTGCTGCTGGGCCTGCGCCAGCTCAGACCTCAAGTTCAGCTGGATGTACCTTTCTAGCTGTGGGGAGACCATGGGCTAGGGGTGGGTAGGGGTTGGGAGAAGGCTCCTGTCCTTTCCATGTGTGATTTGAAGGACATAGAGAAACCAGGGGAGGCCTCCGTGCCAGGCCAGGCACCAGTACCTTGTGCCTGGAATATTCCAGTAGCTTTCTCCCTGGCTTCTCTGTCTCTGTCCTTGTCCCATATACAGTCCATCTTCTACTCTACAGCCAGAGGGATCCAGTTAAACCGAAGTCAAATCATATTTCTCCTCTGCTCAAAACCCTCCCAGGATTCCTATCTTACTCAGAAGAAAAGCCAAAATCCTCCCTATGACTGCAGCTACCTCCATGACCTGGCCTCCCACTATCACTCTAATTTCCTCTCCTGGTCCTTTTCCCCTCAGTTTTAGATGCACTGGCCCCTATGATATCCCTCCAACACATCAAGCATGTGCCTAACGCAGGGCCTTTGCAAATGCTGTTCTCTCTGCCTGGAAACCCCCCTCACCCCCATCTCCTTCTGCATGGCTTACTCTCTTATACCATTTCACATCTCTTCCTACCACTTATCACTCCTTACCTTATGTTACATATTTATCTATTGCCTGTTATACCCTTGAAATGTCAGTTGAATGAAGCTGGGGGCTTGGTCTTATTCACCACTTTACCTCTGTGTCTGGCACAATGCTTAGCGCACAGCTGGTGCTCAATACATATGTGTTCAATGAATTGATGGAAAAGGGGGAGCAGAAAGGGTCAGAGTACAGCCCCCAGTGTCATTCATACCTGTTAGCCAGCTTCCTAGGGGTGAGCAAGCCATCAGGGAGTGGGGACACATTTTTCCCCTTACAAGAGGTTACAGGTCCATCTGCCAAGCTGGGCTTTCTATTTTCTGCCAAAGGAGGCTAAAGCTGCCAGTATCCAATGGTTCTCTGAGCTGGGATGTTCTGGGATCCGACACACTAACATTCATTTTTTCACAGGCTGCTTTCTTTCCCAAGAGCAGGAGAAGCTGGTCTGGCTTGAGATCAGGATCAAGTTGCAAAGGTGAACAGCGTGTTCTCAGGGCTCAGGGCCAGTGGGCACAGCCGGTGCCCTCCCCCACCCCTCTCCATCCTACGCATAAGCTCGCCTCTCCCCACCATCCCTACCTCCTGCCCTGGCTCCTTGCCTCTCCCTCTCCCTCAGTCTTCCAGGAGGTCTGACAGAACAGCTCTCAGGGGCCCTGGGAAGACTGGTGCTCCCCAGGGAGAGGTGATGACCTTGGCTGGGGGGCCAGGCTTTAGCTGCTTCCTCCTTCACCTCCTCTTCCCTCTTCCTCCTGGACTGTCTGCTCCCCTCTCTTCCCTCAGTGCTTCTGAAGGAGCCCGTTCACTGCAGTGCACGGTCAGATCCTGAAGGGGGCGCCCTGGGCAGTGCTCGTGCTGATGAGAACGGACTCTCAGGTGTGGTCCCTGAAACAGCATCAGCAGGGCCCTTGTCTGAAACACGCATTTCTAGATCTCACCCCAGACCTACTGAATCTGAAATTCTGGGATGGCATCTAGCCATCCAGGTCAATCTGATGCTTGCTCAGTGTGGCAGCCCATGGGGCAGAGGTCACAAAAGGGACCGAGGACCAGGCAGACAGGATGTCCAAGCTTCTCAAGCCTTTGCCCCTTTGGCCCCTTCCTGCCTCCCCTGCCTCATCAGTTCCCCACCTCACTGTCCCCTGTAGGAGACAAATATGTTCCAACAGCTCCTACCTGAGAATTAGAGAAAACAACTCTTGATCTCAGAGACCCCTCCAGCTGCATCTCCAATTTCTTTCCTCTCAACAACAAAACGTCTTGAACAAGTCGTCTCTATTTTCTTACCTCCATCCCCACCCTCACCTTTAAAAAATTAGCATTAATTAGGGTATACTTCACACATACAAAAAATGCATAAAGAATTGTGTGTATTGACCACACTCAAGAAAAAATATAACTCCTACCGTTGAACCCTGTGCACCTCGGCCTGTCTCCCCAGACCAGGGAGCCCCTTCACTATTTAATTTGCCTGGCCATGGCCTCCTTGACAAGGGGCGGGGCAAAGGACACTTCCCTGTTCTCATCTTGCTGTCCATCTCTGCACCAGTCAACCCAGGTGACCACGCCCCTTTTCTGGAAGCACTTCCCAGATACCTGCTCATCACCTCCTAGCTTTCTCCTATCACCCACGCCGCCACCCCCTCTCTGAGTCCTCCTTTGTCAGGCTTCTGAATGTTGGGGGACTCTCCTAACCTAGTCCTGGACCCTCATCTTTCTGTTCATTCTCTCCCTAGGTCAAAGGTCCTTAATGGGGGACCACAAGTTCTGCGAAGAGAATTCGGGTGTCTGTGAACTTGAGTGAGAAAAAAAATCACATCTTTTGCTCACTAATCTGTAATTAAAGATGGGCATTTCCTTTAATTATGAGCAGAAGCCACAAACCATAACACTGTTAGCTATCCTGTGACTTCATTACCAATACAAATCATAAATATTTTCTTACTGCAATGCAGATGTTATAATATCTTAAAATATTGTTTTTACTCGTCATGACTTTGAAACTATGGACATTCCCAAAACCACCACTGGATGATGCCACAGCTACAGTACATCTAATTTTTAATATTTTTATTACAATTGCAATAGCACAGGGGGCTCTTATGCTTTTATTTTCTGTATTTAAAAGTATTATTCTGAAAGGGACTCCAGTAGCTTCCCCCAGGACAGATGCCAAAGTGTCCGAGAACCCAGATGGGTCAGGGCCTCCTGCAGGTGCTCCAGGGGGCCCCAGGACATTCGCAACCCTTACATGCGATGGTGTCATCTCCTTCTCCCACCCAGACTTCTCCCTAATGTCCCGCCTACTCACCCCCCTCCGGGGGTTTCCCCCAATCATCTCAAGCAAAAGCATCCAGCGTGGACCCCTTGATTCCTCAGCTCCCACTGGTTCTGTCCCTGCAGCCCCACCCTGTTCTCCCCTCATCTTTTCTGTTCCAGAAAATGGCTCCACCCAGTTCTTAAGCCCCAAACACAGACCTCACCCTTGACTCTTCTCTTTTGCTCATCTGCAGCACTCAGTTCACTAGTAAGTTCTGGCCTCTTATTGATGTGATCCCAATGTGAGTTTCAAATATGTTCAGTTTCTTCCACTCTGGGCCACGCTACTGCCATCCCCATGGGTGAGCCCCTTGTGCCCTCCCTACCACACCCCTGTCAGATCCCTGGGGAGTCTAACATGTGGCTGGCTGGGGTGCAGCAGGCTGATAAAGGTAAGCAGAGCCATACTAAGGCTGTTCTTGGATTTTCCTATGAGTCCCAAACTGCAAGGGACCTTGTTTAAAGTGCAGACTCCCATGCCCTGAGCTTCAGCTCCAGGCAGACAAATAGCAAGTTCATTCCTAAGGTGAAACCTTCTCAGGCATCTCCCCCTAGCCTCTCATTTGCAGATGGACAAACTGAGGCCCAGAAGATTTGCCCAAGGTCACCACCTGGCAGGCTAGGCTCCCTGATTCCTTGCCCAGGGCCGCCTTCAGTCTGCAGAGCTGGGCTGGGGGGTCATCTCGAGTGATGGGAGTTCCCTACGCGCCCTCACTGGTCCCCACCTTGTTCTGTGGCAGCATGCAGGTAGGTGGGGGGATGGCTGCCACCCAATTTGCCACACCTGCCCACAGATGGGCCCCAAGATGGATAATCGGGGCCACATGAGCTCAGTTTAGCTAGTTTGGGGCTCTGGTGACTAATGTCAGCCTGTGTGGTGGACGCTGGGTCTGGCCCAGGACTCAGGCACAAGCTGGAAGTGTGGGGGAAGGAATGCCCTGGATGAGATCTGCCACTGCCCCTGTCCCCAGTGGATTAACCTGCCCCTTCTCTGTTGCCCTCATGCTGGAAGATTCTCAGGGCTGAGGTAGGAATTGTGGGCCTCATCTCCCACTATCCCTCCAGTCTACAAAGAGGCTAATCTTTGGCCTTTGGGCCACCAACCCTCTCCCTGGTTTTGAATTCTGGCTCTC